ATTTTTAATTCAGTCAGATTCTAAAGCTTACGGTCGAGGAGTTATTCATAGTTTATAAATTCTAGAATTTAATATAGTTATATTTGAATTTCATAAAGTTTGGTTATTAAAACTTTAATGAATGTGCTAATTTATAGTACTGCTCTTGAACAATAAATTTCTATTTATTTATAGCATACGGAAACTTAAAAAAAAAAAAAAAATCAACAATTTACATGCAACTTGCAAGAGACTAACAACAAATGTACAATGTTTTATATATATAAAAAAAAAAAAAAAATTGGATGCTTTGGACTTTTGATGTTTAATAATATATAATCACAATTGCACTGTCAAAAAAAAAAAAAAAACGTATCTTGATTTTTTATATAAAATAAAATCCAAGACATTAAAACTTAAGTCGCCTTTTTAACTATTTGAAAGGGGGAAAAACGGAAAGAAAAGACCATGACCGTTTTTATCGAAAATACAATTAAGGGATCGACCTTTGTGACTCATATCAGTATTATAAACAAAGATGAAAAAAAATATTATCGTTTATGAAATAAGTATAATAGAAAAAAGTAATAAAGTAGAAAATTAACTTTTATTTTAACAATTATAATTTCTATTTTCATGGGTTGGGCTTTAGACCGTATCTAAAGCTACACTACAAGAAATACTGAAATAATTTTCTAAAGTGTTTTTTTTTTTTTGTCATTCCGCTGCCTGAATTGATTTTTTAAATTCAGTTCAGATTCCTAAGCTTATACGGCATCGAGAGTTATTCAAGTTTATTAATTTCAAAAGTTTTAAAGTATATTTATTATTTTGAATTTCATACAGTTGGTTATTTAAAACTTTAATGACAATGCTGCTTAATTTATATCAGTACTGCATCATTGAACAATAAATTTCATATTTTATTCATATACGCTACGGAAACTTAAAAAAAAACAAAAAGATCAACAATTTTACACTGCAACTTGCAAGAAGGGACTAACAACAAAATGTTACAATGTAATTTACCGCCTATTATAAAAAAAAAAAAAACAAATGTACACCATATTAAAAATTAAAAAACATCAGTCTTACTTCACCAATTTTTTCTTAAAAAAAAAAAAAAAAAACAAATGTACAACCATTATTAAAAATTAAAAAACTGTCTTACTTCACAATTTTTTATTCTTAAGGAGATCATTTAAATTGATGAACTTTGGTCATAGAATTTACCAAATTCTCCAACTATAAAATTTATGGATTGTAAAATCAATGGAATTTCATATTCCATTATTTAAACGAAAAATATCATCCATAGTTTTAAAAGATATTTTCAGAACAAAATTAAATGTTTTAATTTACTTTATTAATAAAAGTGATAGAATTGAGAAAATTCCAACATTGAGATGATATTTTTTTCTCTTCTAAATTAATGAAATGGAGATACGATGGAATCTGTTAATTCCATGGAGTATACTTCATCTTTTTCCCAATTAAATGAAAGAATCTGGTAAATTCGAGAAACGTATTGAAATGCCTAAATTTTTATTTTCGAAACTTTCAAATTTTTATTAAATCAAAAATTTTAATTTTCAATTATATTGGCTATAAACACCAAACAATCTTAATTTAAACTCAAAGTTTTGCGAGTTGGCCCAAAGTCTAAATATATTATCGGAATTTCCGATTTGAGAATAGTTAAATTTTTGAGAAATAATATGAAACTCCAGCAATTAATCTATTATGAATGTATATAAATTAATTATCCTAAAAAAAAATCAAATATCACTACTATTAATATTTTTATTATTATTGAATAAATAGAGGAAATGTTACAGAACCTAACTAAAATAATCAAAATAAATCAAACCGGGCCCAGAAATCAAATTGATTTTTTGAAAACCACACAAATAATCTGAAAACCAAGTGAAAAACCTGAAACCGAACAAAAATCGAGCCGAATTATTGAATTAGACCAAACCGGTTCGAATCGAACCGAAATGGTCTAGAAGACCCAGATTTTTCTTTCTTTCCTTTTCTTTTCTTTTCTTCTCCTCCTTTTCTAGCGGCAGCACTCGTTTTTCCCCTCCTTCCCCATTTTTCCGGCGAGGGCCAGAGCGTGCGCCACCACCACCAGCGCCGTGCCTCCCTTTCCTCTTCCGTTTCCGGCCACCTGAGTCGACCGAACCTCCTCCTCCGTCGCGCCACCATCGTCCTGCGGTGCCTCTTCTCTTTCAGTTCTCGTTTCTGGAGAACGCAGCAGCGGGGCGAGCCGCGGTCCTTCGTTGGCGAACGGCGCATAAGCGCCTCCACTGGTTTTCCGTCGATCCCGGCGCAGTCGGTGGCTCCGGCACTTCCCCGATGGCGTAACTCCTCTCCTTCTCTCTCTGTTTGTTCCAGTCGGCGCAGCAAAAACCGAGCCCGCTCCGGCCAGATGGAGGACCAATCTCGCCCAACCAACGCGAGAAACGGGCTCCTGACAGCAAGCCAAGTCAGATGGTGTGAAGAGTGCTCGGTTTCGAGCAACCACGATTTTCCTGCCAACGGCGAGTTGAATTATTTAGTAGGTGTATACATTCGATTGTAATTTAAATTAGTATTGGTTCCCGGTGGCTAGTATAGAATTTTTAAGCAAGAATGTAGAAGTTTCTTAATAATTAGAGGTCTAAAAACTATCAACTGAGAGTAGCGAACCAAGTTTTATTTATAAATTGTTTAGATATTTGGTAATTAGTTACAGGACAATTAATAATATTATTGGAACTTGCTCGGAGGCTAATATAAATTGTTAATTAATTGGTTTTGAATTATTAAGTGCATATATGTGTGCGTGATGGATGAATATGGTTATGGCGGATGGGGAGGCTAATATAAATTGTTAATTAATTGGTTTTGAATTATTAAGTGCATATATGTGTGCGTGATGGATGAATATGGTTATGGCGGATGGGGTATGATTGGTGATTATGGATATGGCGGATGGGAGGTGTTGTTGTGAATTGCCTGACGAATGAGCTGTGTGTATTGATTGATAAATATATAATATTATTGTGATATTTAAATGGGTAGATAGTCATATTTCTAGGGAAGGTTCTGCCAAAATTTCGATAGAACCTAGACTAATTTTAATTAATAACATAATAAATGAGCTTATTTAGATAAATCTATAATTTGATACATAATAAATAAAGTGCTCTAATTATTTGTTTATTATCTTTATTATTCAATTATTTATTTATTTTCATTATTATTGTTTATTATTGTCATTATTTATTTTATTATTGTTTTTTATTGTTAATACTATTGATTTGTTTATTTGCATTTGAATAGGGGTGTCTAATTGTGTATTGCATTACGATGTTTAATTGATTAATATGCTTGCATTTAATTGCGATACTTGATTAATTGTGTTGTGATAATACTATGCTTTGTATCTGTGGAGTTGGGATGAAGTGGGTCATCATGGGTTTGCAAGGGCGGTCCACGAGACCATTGGCTGTATGGGAGATCGGCATCCCATGTGCATATGATGATATGATATGGATAATATGGATAAACCACAGGGTGGCCTCCTGTTGGTATGGAAAGGAAAAGAAAATAAACACAGGGTGGCCTCCTGTTGGTATGGAAAGGAAAAGAAAATAAAGGATGGAAAAATAATGAGAAGGCTGGTCAAGTGAGGATTAGATCGGTCGGGTATGTATGAGGGATCGGCTCCCTGGTGCACACATTATGAGAGGGTGGAGCATGTATGAGGATGGCTCATTGGGGGTTTTGGTGATGCCACAGACCAATTTCCACGTAATGTGATTATATGAAGATGTTAATAATTGTAAGTGTTAGTGATATACCATTTGTGTGACTGACTGCGTGAGCATATAACTAGTCGGATGACTAGATTGATATATTTACACATTTGTGTGAATGAGTGTGCTATAAAATAATTATTACTCCTTAGAAAACTCACATGTCTTATTTAATTTTTCAGGAAGTAAGTTTCTCTTAAATTCGGTCTAAGCTATATTTCTTCGCCGCAGGGCAAGAAAGAAATTTTTTTAGTTCTATAATTATTTTGCTATGTAACTATATGTATAAAAAGTTATGTATATCAAATAGTTAGTGACTCCGCAGTTGTAGAATTTACATACATTTAGTTGTGTACTAATATAGATGAAACGATTCTGAGAGCCAATATTATAAATGTGATGTATTGTAAATTGCATTCAATCCGTGAAATGTTTAAGATGTTAAATTTGGGCAGAGGTATAAAATATTTATGAGATTTATTTTGCATAGTAATATGGGCTAAATGTTTGAAATTTATATTGAAAAAGTAGAATTTTAGTGGTTCAGGCTTACTACAGATCTCGGGGGCCTTAATTTATATTGAAAAAGTAGAATTTTAGTGGTTCAGGCTTACTACAGATCTCGGGGGCCTTAAGCTTACCTGGGCCCTAGTGCCGGTTCGGCCCATGGTTTCGGGTCGTGACATGTATACATTCCATCATTTAAACTCCACCTATCAAAATAACTTCAAAAGTTTCAATAAATAAAATATGAAAGATTTAATTTTATATTGCATCAAGATTGATCATAGCTTGAGTGCAAGGCTCCAAAGATACAAATTTTAATGTGTATGCGTACTTAAGAGTTAACACAAGTTATTTGGATCAAATTCTAAGGTCAGGATCCATAATTGTTTATTTCTTAGGATATTATTCTAAAATATTATTTATATTTCTTATAGATTATGTATCTTTGTCCCTATTTAGTTAAGGCAATGATATTTGCTTATTTAGTTAGATTTTATCTTTCCTTTTTAGTTAAAAGATCATTTCAAGTAGGTTTCATTTCTTATTTAGTTAGTATATCAACAATTATTCGAAAACAACTTCTTATTTAGTTTGTATATCTATTTATTAATCAGTATTTAGAAAGACAATTTCTGGTTTCCGTCAAATGGAAAATTGATGTCATTGGGGAGAAAACATGTATTTATGGGCTAATAATTATAAAATGACTAAAAATTAAATGAAACTGATAAATGAGATAATTGCAAAATCATCGTTGGGAAAATTACAGAACCAGATATATTACTCTAATCTGGCTTATTCACAAGTGGTAACTAAGATGCCAAAACCATAAGATAGGCCTTCCAAAATAACAAGGGATTCTTTCAGAGTAGATGGCTTCATGTACGCCTAAACATCATTTCGCTCAAATTCATATACTTCCTCCTATAAATATACTCCTCACAATTTGGGAGGAGGAAGCAGCCATTTAGAACCTTCAATATAACTAAGAGAAATGAAAGGTTTTACTTCTGCTTCAGTCAGTTGCTTGGCAAATTTAACACGTCCATCAGCAGCTGCGCCTGGTCCTGAATTCTTAAATTCTCCAAACTCCAAGAAGGACTCTCTGCCAAAGTGTCACAGAAACCTTATTGAAATATGCAAAATTGAGTTATTATAGATAAAAGTCAATTTTTATGAGGTTTTAAAGCAGATTAGTTAAAAAAATTTCTACGGCTCTCTTTCAGGATGTCATTATTAGGACCATCCTCGGGGACAGATAACCTCACTTTATGGTACTATATGGCAAAATACCGCCTTAGGAGCTGGCATCCATGCTCGGCCTAGTATGCTCCTTTGCTTTTCCCAGCTACGCCTACAATGAACAAATGAAAAGACCAGTTATCTTTCAGCGTTTCCTCTTGCTTGTGCAACAATCACTGTCATTTCCTTATCTTGCAGCACCTCTAAACTGGGTATTCTGCCATAGAATATATGTTGATGTTTGACACTTCATAAATAAAGGATATTATGTTTGCATATAACCAAAATCCAATATATGTTGGAGTTTCTAATTGGAAGTTTATTACCAGATAAATAGGACTTTCCGCTCCCAAAAATGAAATTCAACAGTGCCTTCAACGTACGAATCTTTTAAAAAAAAGTGGAAACCCTTGTCATCGCCCATTTATTGTATCTTGAAATCCAATAAATCTGCAATTGTTAAAAACTGGACATTAACTTTACAGCAATTCTGAAAGCAAACTTGCTTGGGCTCCAGGTCTTTTTCCATCAGGCGCAGGTTGCAGTATTCTAATGCCGATTAGTAAAATCCATAAATTGTTAAAATGTGAACAGAAATGAAAAGCATAAATAACGGAAGAAAAGCTAAAAGCGTTGTAAATGGACCTTTGATAACTTAAACCGCTTCCCACGAAGAAAATCAGACTCCACTTTGTAATGGGCGCAACCCCCCGGGCTATACCACAGTTCCCATATTCGATGAGCAGTGCCAGCAAATTCTATGATTGTCTTTCTCAGCGTACTCCGACAAACGAAACAAAGGGCTTATCTTTTTTCAACGGTTTTAATTTTCTCGGTTATAGGTCCAGTCCATCATCCACCAATCACGCGTTGTGGCATTTTGGCCTGGAATGCTTCAACGAATCTGCTTATAGTCCTTGAACTCTCCACTCCGTTCTGCCTCTCACCTTTAATCACCTTAATAGTTTTGGGAGTAGCTTCAGCCGCTTCAAGGTCAGCATTTAAAGTGCCCTTACGGTCTGCCAGTGGCTTGACATTTGCTTCAAACCAAGCGTTTACTTCAGCTTCAGCCTCTGGTATTGGTGCTGCATCATCAGAGCTAACAGTTATTGCTGTAAAAACAATGGCGATGATGGCATATACGACGAATGCGAGGAGACTAAGGCGTTTAATCATCTTGTATAGATTTTTAGTTTCTTGATATGTTTCTTGCTTCTTTTTTATTATGAATTCGCAATTTATATAACACTGAAGAGGAAGAAGTCTTAATACAATTGAGATTTAGAAAGTGATTTAGAAAGTTTTATCGCGATTCCTGCGTGCTTTCCTTTTGCAGTAATGGGAGTGATTCTCGTGTATCTTGTTTTGAAAATTTGTTGGCTTGTTGTCACTTTCTAATATTTTTTCTTTACTTATTTTGTAATTCAAATAATTACAAGTTTTTTTTTTGCACAATAAAAAAACAATGTTAAAATGCATTTAAAACTTTACATATTTTTTTTTTTTTTGCACAATAAAAAAACAATGTAAAATGCATTTAAAACTTTACTATTTTACCTAAACTTTTCGGTGCTGCTGTTTTAATAACTTAAAAAATGAGTTATGGTTGTAAAAATTTGGTCCTACTAATACATATTTATTGTTTTTTTCCGATCACTTTCTCCAAACTCAATTCTGCCATAACTCTTCATAAATCAATTGTCAATTGTTAAGTAAGAGGGAGTAATTTTGCCTAAATTGGTACAATGGAAACTATTTTTGATGTTCAAGGAAGAACTGTGTAATAGAAAATTGACAAATCTAATATATAAATTTATAATATCGATCATAATAAATTAGGTTTAGCAAAAGTAATCTAGCGAAAGCAAAAGCGTATTTATTTTAAAAATCGAAAAAGGCTTTTGCTATATCTTGAATTAGTGTAAGTGTAAATAAAACTCAAACATCAGAATTGGTATTAGGAAACTTGATATTAAATATTTTTTTCCTCTCCTTTCACGAATGGAGCTCTTCAAAATTAGAATTGTATGATTGAAATAAGAAATTAATTTTTTAAATTTATTTATAATTTATTATAAATGATTGTTTATTTATTTGGCATATTAATATATTACTTATTGAATGTATGTGTTCTAAGCATGTGTTTTAAAAATTATCGTATTCAGGACGTTACAATTTATATTTTTTAAATTGTTTATTTAATAGTAATATATTATTTATTCACACTTTTTTTATGTGTGTGGATTACTTATTAATTATTTTGTAAGAAGAAATAAATTTATATTAATATATTGAATGCTAAAGATAATTTTTTTTATAGATATTACGTTGATAAAGGAATCATCTAAAAATATAAAATAACTGATCTCTTTATAATTCTTACAATTGTGCTAATTTGTGTTAGAATTCTAATATTTGTCATTCTATAATTCAAAAAACCGCCAAGTGGCAGATTATATTAGAATTCTAACATCTGTCACTCTATAATCTAAAATAATGTCAAATGGTAAATTGTGCTACTTATACCATATAAGGCAAACTATATTATTTTTATATATTATTCGTGTAAGAACTCGCGTGATGCACGAAGCAATATTGAATGATGAAATTATCTTTTATAACAGCATTGAAAAATAATAAAATTGTATAATATAATATCTCATTGAAATGTATTACAAAATTATATCTCATTGAGAGATTCTTAAGTAACATGTGAAGCCTTTTACCAAGGTATGCATAGCAAAAACCATGCATGGTATAACTTTCATCAAATAATAATACTTAGGAAAAAAAATACGGCATAAACCAGAATGAGCCAAACTCGGTTATTTTCCTATAAAATCAATAGTAGCAACTCATAGAAAATATATGTGAAACGATTTTCTATATAATTATTTGGTGCAATTATAAAGTTCTGCATGAAATATAATCCAAACTCGTGTATCTTTAATTTGAATAAATGAATAATATTTTTACTGATCATTGCATGGATACGATCTCCCTGAAATCAAAAATGAACCATTAGGAAAAAATATTGATGCAAATAAAAACTCTAACGCAAACACAACAAACATGTAAAAGCTAACAGAAAAACTGAGACTTTATAATTGCCGCAAACAAAAGGAAACTGATATGGTTTTTTTATAGGGTTTTCTTTAGAGCTAAACAGCCTTATAAAATAAATCATGAATAACAGAATCCTGATAAATGCTTACTGATCTCCCGCAATCTGTGTTTCGAAACCCTAACTTTAATCATGATGCGTAATTGAGTGGGAAAAATGAAAAAAAATAAAAGTTGTAAGTATATATTACGGTTGTTGTTGGTCCCTACTGTATCTATTTTAAATTTTTATTTAATTTTAATTTTAATTTTTAATAATTGATCCAACCTTTTGGAAAATATAAAATAACTCATGTTTTTAAAACTACCCTGAATAATTGTTATCCCCTCACATTTGGCAATTTCAGGGCTTATTCTTTGCTTCCATATATTGCAAACCGATCTATTTATATATATATATATAAACTTTGTCGTGAACATAAATCCGCCGTGTGGCATACATCAAAATTATGTGTTGCAATTTTTTCTATATATATATAAACTTTTGATCGTGAACATAAATCCGTCCGTGTGGCATACATCAAAATATGTGTTTTGCAAATTTTTTTTTTAAACCTGACAAAGAATTAGTATTCTGTCAACTTATATCTTGATTTTTGTAAAAAAAAAAATAAAAAAAAAAAATCCAGGACCTTAAAGCTAAAGGGAATTAAAGCTAAAGGAAAAAAGAAATAAAGTAGAAATAATTTTTAAAAAATTTTTATTTTCATAAGTGCAGATTTAAGCAGATCTTAAAGTACACTAAAAAAAATATCGAAATAATTTCTAAAAAATTCATTTTTTATCATCTTCTGCATGAATATATTTTTAATTCTGTCAGATTCTGAATCTTACGGTCGAGGAGATCTTCATAGTTTTTAAATTCCAGAATTTAATATAGTCATGTTTGAATTTCATAAAGTTTGGTTCTTAAAACTTTAATGAATGTGCTAATTTGTAGTACTGATCTTGAACAATGAATTTCTATTTATTTATAGCATTCGGAAACTTTAAAAAAAAAAATCTTCAATTCACATGCAACTTGCAAGAGATTAACAACAAATGTACAATGTTTTCAAGAAAAAAAAAAAAACAACAAATGTACAATCATTGTTAAAACTTTTAAAATCTGTCTTTCTTCACACTTTTTTATTCTTAAGGAGATAATTTAAATTGATGAAATTTGGTCATAAAATTTACCAAATTCATGAAATATAAAATTTATGAATTGTAAAATCATTTATAAATTTTATTTATAATTTAAAATTTTAAAAATTTTAGGTGGGCTTCTTATGTTCTATCGGAGGATCTGTTTGTTATTGGTCTTTACTAGTGTTTCGAGAACCGGATCAGTCAGTGAATCGGTGAAGATAAGGGTTCACTGAACCAAAAGGTTCAATCGGATTCAATATGCTTCAACCGGATTTTTCTATACAATACTTTTAAATATATTTATTAAATAAAATTGAAAGGATAGGATAAAAAAATTTTTAATATCAAATAAAAAAACATTTTCAAATCTTTTATAAAAAAAATATAAAAATTAGTAAATAATTTTAAAGAAAAAGAACAAAATATTACTAAATTTAATAATAAATAAAAATCAATTAATTATAATAAAATATAATATTATTTTTCACATTTGAATTTAAAGTTGGAAAATTTAATTTTTTTAATTAATATAATAGGATCTTAGATTTATAAATAAAGAGGCTCAAAACAAAAAAATCACTGGGTCCAACTTTTGAGAGGCCGAGATATAAAAAGGGCTCACAATTAGAGATAAAAACCCATAATTTGAATCGAACCAGTTTTTAACCGGTCCAATTCACCGACTTTTGGTCAGTTTCTTCTGGTTCTTATTGATTTATACAGGTTTTAAACTCCCAAATTTTCTATGTAACCCGGATTGAATCACTATCATGTTCCCGAGTAAACCGGTTGAACCGGTCAGTCTGGTCCGGTTTTTATAACTGATCGAACCGGCCAATCCTGTCCGGTTAAATGGCCTAAGGTTATGCTTGTAATTTTACTATTGTAATTATAGTAAAACGTCGTATAATCATTTTGCTCGGTTATTTAATACATTTTCTCCCATTCGGACTAAGACAATGGCAATAGCAATATTTCTATAAATTCTTGTATTAATACATTTGTAGGAAACATTGAATCAATCATAAACATTTGTTCCCAGAATTATCCATTTTTCTATTTTTTTATAAAATATTAAGTTGTAAGTGACTACTTCTTACACAAAAAGTAACACCTTCGATCAATTGTAGCTCATCGCATTTTATATAAAATTCAAAGTCAAAAAGCAACGGGTTACACAATATGTAGAATTGTTACTATTTTCTCTTGTATGGATTAATTATTATACTTTCTGCGATAAATATACTCTTCACAATTTGGGAGGAGGAAGCAGCCATTTGGAACCTTCAATATAACTAAGAGAAATAAAAGGTTTTACTTCTGCTTCAGTCAGTTGCTTGGCAAATTTAACACGTCCATCAGCAGCTGCGCCTGGTCCTGAATTCTTAAATTCTCCAAAGAAGATCTCTCTGCAAAGTGCACAGAACCTTATTGAAATATGCAAAATGAGTATTATAGATAAGTCATTTTATGAGTTTAAAGAGATTAGTTAAAAATTTCTTACGGCTCTCTTTCAGGATGTTCATTATTAGACCATCCTTCGGGACAGATAACCTCACTTATGGTACTATATGCAAATATCGCCTTAGGAGCTGGCATCCATGCTCGGCCTAGGAATGCTCCTTTTGCTTTTCCAGTTATGCTACAATGAACAAATGAAAAGCCAGTATCTTCAGCATTTCCTCTTGCTTGTGCAACAATCACTGTCATGTCCTTATCTTGTATAACCTCTAACTGGGTATTCTGCATGGAATATATATTGATGTTGATATTCAAGAAATAAAGATACTATGTGCATATAAACAAAATCCAATATATGTTGAGTTTTAATGGAAGTTTTATTACCAGATAAATAGACTTTCCACTCCCAAAGATGAAATCAACGGTGCCTTCAACGTAACAGTCTTTCCAAAAGTGAAACCCTTTGTCATCGCATATTGTATCTTGAAATCCAATAAATTTGCAATTGTAAAAACTTGACATACTTCCAGCAATTCTGAAAGCAACTGCTTGCGCTCCAGGTCTTACTCCATCAGGCGGAGGTGCAGTATTCTAATGCAATAGTAAGTCCATAAATTGTTAAAACGTGACAGAAATGAAAAGCATAAATAACGGAAGAAAAGCTAAAGCGTTGTAAATGGACCTTGATAACTAAACCGCTTCCCACAAAGAAATCAGACTCCACTTGTAATGTTGCGCTATACACAGTTCCAAATTCATGAGCAGTGCCAGCAAATTCTATGATTGTCTTCTCAGGTACTCCGACAAACGAAACAAAGGGCTTATCTTTTTCAATGGTAATTTTCTCGGTATAGGTTCCAGGTCCAATATCCACAATCACGCGTTGTGCATTTTTGGCTGGAATGCTCTTAACAGCATCTGTTATAGTCTTGAACTCTCCACTTCAAAAATAAAAAAAAAAAAAAAAAAAAAAAAAAAAATACAAAAAAAAAAAAAAAAATAAAAAAAATAAAAAAAAAAAAAAATTTGTTTCTAAAAAAAAAAAAAAAAAAAAAAAAAAAAAGAGAAAAAAAGAAAAAAAAAAACAAAAAAAAAAAAAAAAAAAAAAAAAAAAAAAAAAAAAAAAAAAAAAAAAAAAAAAAAAAAAAAAAAAAAAAAAAAAAAAAAAAAAAAGAAATAAAAAAAAAAAAAAAAAAATTTTCTGTGTAAAAAAAATTTAAAAAAAAAAAAAAAATAAAATAACAACATAGAAAAAAAAATAAAAAAAAAAACAAAAAAAAAAAAAAAAAAAAAAAAAAAAAAACAAACAAAAAAAAAAAAAAAAAATAAAAAAAAAAAAAAAATTTAAAAAAAAAAAAAAAAAAAAAAAAAAAAAAAAAAAAAAAAAAAAAAAAAAAAAAAAAAAAATTAAAAAAAAAAAAAAAAAAAAAAAAAAAAAAAAAAAAAAAAAAAAAAAAAATTAAAAAAAAAAAAAAAAAAAAAAAAAAAAAAAAAAAAAAAAAAAAAAAAAAAAAAAAAAAAAAAAAAAAAAAGAGATAGAATTTAAAAAAAAAAAGAAAAAAAAAAAAAAAACAAAACAAAAAAATAAAAATAAAAAAAACACAAAAATGTCCATTAAAATGTTTAAAAGCGTTGACAGAACTGAAAAGCATAAATAACGGAAAGAAAGCTAAAAGCTGTAAATGGCACCTTGATAACTAAACCGCTTCCACAAAGGAAATCAGACTCCTACTTGTAATGTTGCCGCTATACACAGTTCCTGAGAATTCATGCAGCAGTGCCAGCAAATTCTGGATTGTCTTCTCAGTACTCACAAAACTAGACAAAAGGCTTTATCTTTTTTCAATGATAATTTTCCGGTATTAGGTCCAGTCCAATATCCACAAATCACGCGTGTGCATTTTTTGGCTGGAATGCTCTTAACCGCATCTGTCAGCTCTTGCACTCTCCACTTCCAGTCTGCTCACACCTATATAGTTTTTAGGGAGAGCTCAGCCGCGTCTGTCAGCATTTATAGATAGTTGCCCTATACAGTCTGCGCCAGTGGCTTGACATGTTTGCTTCATACCAAGCGGTTATACTTCAGCTTCCTGGTATCGTGCTGCATCATCGACAGCTTAACAGTTATTGCCTGAAAACAATGCTCTGATGATGCATATACGACGAATTGGGCAGGAGGGATCTACAGAGCGGCGGTTTAATCATCACTTGATTATATTTATAGTTTCTTTGATTATGTTTCTTGCGTCTTTTTTATGTATGAATTCGCAATTTACTATAACACTGAAAGGAAGAAGTCTAATACAAGTGAGATTTAGAAAGTTTATCGCATTCTCTTGCTTTCTTTGCGTAATGTGCCCAGTGATTCTCGTGTATCTCTGTTTGAAATTGTGGCTTGTTGTCACTTCTATTTTTTTTATATATTTATTTTGTAATCTCAAATTAAATAGCGAGATTTTTTTTTTTTTTTGCCACAATTAAAAGAAAAACAATGTTTTTTTTTTTGCACAATAAAAAAACAATGTAAAATGCATTTAAAACTTTACTATTTTACCTAAACTTTTCGGTGCTGCTGTTTTAATAACTTAAAAAATGAGTTATGATTGTAAAAATTTGGTCCTACTAATACATATTTATTGTTTTTTTCCGATCACTTTCTCCAAACGCAATTCTGCCATAACTCTTCATAAATCAATTGTCAATTGTTGAGTAAGAGGGAGTAATTTTGTCTAAATTGATACAGTGTAAACTATTTTTGATGTTCAAGGAAGAACTGTGTAATAGAAAATTGACATATCTAATTTATAAATTTATAATATCAATCATAATAAATTTGGTTTAGCAAAAGTAATCTAGCGAAAGCAAAAGCGTATTTATTTTAAAAATCGAAAAAGGCTTTTGCTATATCTTGAAATAGTGTAAGTGTAAATAAAACTCAAACATCAGAATTGGTATTGGGAAACTTGATATTAAATATTTTTTTCCTCTCATTTCACGAATGGAGCTCTTCAAAATTAGAATTGTATGATTGAAATAAGAAATTAACTTTTTAAATTTATTTATAATTTATTATAAGTGACTATTTATTTATTTGAAATATTAATATATTACTTATTGAATGTATGTGTTCTAAGCGTGTGAATGTCATATTTTTTTAAAAAAAAATTATCGTATTCAGTACATTACAATTTATATTTTTTAAATTGTTTATATATTGTTTATTTAATAGTAATATATTGTTTATTCACAATTTTTTTATGTGTGTGGATTACTTATTAATTATTTTGTAAAAAGAAATAAATTTATATTAATATATTGAATGCTAAAGATAATTTTTTTTATAGATATTATTTATAGTATTATGTTTGGATTACTTATTAATTATTTTGTAAAAAGAAATAAATTTATATTAATATATTGAATGCTAAAGATAATTTTTTTTATAGATATTATGTTGATAAAGGAATCATCTGAAAATATAAAATAACTGATCTCCTTACAATTCTTACAATTCTTACAATTATGCTAATTTGTGTTAGAATTCTAATATTTGTCATTTTATAATTCAAAACACCGCCAAGTGGCAGATTGTATTAAAATTCTAACATCTGTCACTCTATAATTCAAAATAATGTCAAATGGCAAATTGTGCTACTTACACCATATAAGGCAAACTACATTACTTTTATATATTATTCATGTAAGAACTTGCGTGATGCACGAAGCAATATTGAATGATGAAATTATCTTTTATAACAGCATTGAAAAATAATAAAATTGTATAATAAAGTATCTCATTGAAATGCATTACAAAATTTTATTTTATTGAGAGATTCTTAAGTATCATGTGAAGCCTTTTACTAGGGTATGCATAACAAAAATCATGCATGGTATAAACTGCATCAAATAATAATACTTAGGAAAAAAAGTACGGCATTAACCACAATGAGCCAAACTCGGTTATTTTCCTATAAAATCAATAGTAGCAACTCATAGAAAATATATGTGAAACGATTTTCTATATAATTATTTGGTGCAATTATAAAGTTCTTCATGAAATATAATCTAAACTCGTGTATCTTTGATTTGAATAAACGAATAATATTTTTACTAATCAGTGCATGGATACGATCTCCCTGAAATCAAAGATGAACCATTAGGAAAAAATATTGATGCAAATAAAAACTCTAACGCAAACACATGAGAGTGTATAGAGCAAAAACTGCCTAAACTCTAACGCAGTCCAGTTAGTGAAACTAATAATTTATGCCTCGGTTTACAGGAATAAAAGCTGCCCTTTCTAAATATGAAGAAGAGTCATTTAGATTATATTACGTTTGAACGTCCATATTAGATGGGAATGGCCAATTTGACATCCTAGAGGAGAAGCAGCTTAATGAAAAGAGTCTTTAGTATGCAAAACCAAAAACTGCAACACATCATCACATGTATATTTTAAGTAAACTGAATGTCTTCTTCACCTGTAGAAACCTGGTTTTGGGTTGATATGAAAGCTAGAAGTGAAAGATATTTATTTGGAGAATTAGGCTTTATAAACAGGTACTTGGGGAGTGGAAAAAAAAAAAAAAAAATCTTTGTTGTTTCAAGTGCAAATTGAGCACTGGATAACTACTCATGGACAGATTTTTGGAATAGATTAAAAAGAACTTGATGTGGGTTTCATGAAGGGATTTCAAGCTTGGAGTTATACTGGAGTTTGCTTGGACTTCCAATATCTAAATAATATTAAACCAAGAAAAGGACATTTAAATAAAAAGCAAACTAATTCCTGTTTGAGTGCGTTATGTCAAATTAGATAACAAAAAAGAATCTCACATTCATTATGAACACACAACAAACATATAAAAGCTAACAGAAAAACTTAGACTTTATAATTGCCGCAAACAAAAGGAAACTGATATGGTTTTTTTACAGGGTTTTCTTTAGAGCCAAACAGCCATATAAAATAAATCATGAATAACAGAATCCTGATAAATGCTTACTGATCTTCCGCAATCTGTGTTTCGAAACCCTAACTTTAATCATGATGCGTAATTGAGTGGGAAAAATGAAAAATAAAAAATAAAAATAAAAAGTTGTAAGTATATATTACAGTGGTTGTTGGTCCCTACTGTATCTCTTTTTAATTTTTTATTTAATTTTAATTTTAATTTTAATTTTTAATAATTCATCCAACCTTTTGGAAAATATAAAATAACTCATGTTCTTACAACTACCCTAAATAATTATTGTCCAACTATAATTGTCCTAAATAATTGTTATTCTCCTCACATTTGATAATTTCATAGACTTATGCTTTGCTTTATATATTGCAAACTGCTCTGCTTTTATTTCTATATATATAAAGAAACTTTGTCGTGAACATAAATCCGCCGTGTGGCATACATCAAAATTATGTGTTGCAATTTTTTCTTTTTACCTGACAAAGAAATTATTATTCTTCAACTATATCTTGATTTTGTAAGAAAAAAATCCAGACTTTAAAGCTAAAGGAAAAAAGAAATAAAGTAGAAATAATTTTTAAAAAATTTTTATTTTCATCAGTGGAGCTTTAACCAGATCTTAAAGTACACTAAAAAAAAATACCGAAATAATTTCTAAAAAATTCATTTTTTGTCATCTTCTGCATGAATATATTTTTAATTCTGTCAGATTCTGAATCTTACGGTCGAGGAGGTCTTCATAGTTTTTATATTCTAGAATTTAATATAGTCATGTTTGAATTTCATAAAGTTTGGTTCTTAAAACTTTAATGAATGTGCTAATTTATAGTACTGATCTTGAACAATGAATTTCTATTTATTTATAGCATTCGGAAACTTTAAAAAAAAAAAAAAAAATCTTCAATTCACATGGAACTTGCAAGAGATTAACAACAAATGTACAATGTTTTCAAGAAAAAAAAAAAAAAAAAAAAAAATAAAATAAAATAAAAATCTTCAAATTCACATGGAACTTGCAAGAGATTAACAACAAATGTACAATTAGTGTTTTCAGAAAAAAAAAAAAAAAAAAACAACAAATCGTAACATCATTGTTAAACTTTAAAATCTGGTCTTTACTTCAACACTTTTTTCTAATTCTCCAAGAGATAATTTTAAATTGATGAAAATTGGTCATAAAAATTACAAAAATTCACGAAATATACAAAGTTTATGAAATTTAAAAATCAATGGAATTTCATATTCCAATTATTTAAATGAAAAAATATAAATCTCATGAATTTAAGAGATATTTTTGAAAAAAAAACCTAACCATGATTAACATAATGATAGAAATTGAGAAAATCCTAGAGCATTGAGATGATATTTTCTCTCTTCTAAAATTAAGGCTAATTGGGTCAGTCAGCAGCGATAACACTCGATAATTCTAAATTCATCTCCAATTGCTGTGTTATATTCTCTCTACTTTCCTTATTATTCTCTCTATTAATTTGAATTAAAGTAATCTAGTGCAACACTCAATGAAGGATTGGTGTGAGCATGTGTCATCCTATTTAAATGCCACAGTCCGACCTGCAAGAAAGTATTCTCATGAATTAAAATATATGAATAATTTAATTTAATCTTTCAAGATTGTCATAGCCAGTGCAAACCACTACCAAAGCTTACTAATTTCATGTGATAATGCTTTACCCCTTAACAGTTTTTAACACAACTTATTTGGATGAAATTTACTTTACTATAAGCAATTTATTGTTTATTTCTGAGAATTATTTAAACACTTTATATTTACTTTCTTATATATTATGTATCTTTTGTCGCCTATTAGTTAAGGCCAATGATATTTTTATGTAGTTAAGATTTATCTTCCTTTTTAGTTAAAAAAAATCTTTTTTTTTTACCTAATTAGTTAGTTTTTTTTAAATTCAGTAGAGACTTTTACTAGACCGATAATAAAATAACTATGTCTAATACACACAGGGCAGCCTCCACTCCTCCACAATAAGCGTAACACCCAACCCAGTGCCACCACACTGAATTGGCCTCCATAATTAGTTAGTTTATCATTCCTCCTATTTAGTTAGTCGGTTACTATCATAATTACAACGCAAGACACTCTTTATTTCTGAATATATCTATTTATTAATTCAGTATTTAGAAAAAATCTTATATGTTTTGTATCAAATGGAAAACTCTCGGGCACACCAGGATGAAAACATGTTATTGCGCGCTTAATAATTATAACATGACTAAAATTACATGAAAACTAATAAACATAGAAATTGCAAATCATATGCTTGGGAAAATTGCAAACCAATATATTACTCTAATCTGGCTTTATTTACAAGTGGTTGGGTAAAACTAAGATGCCAAAAACCATAAATAGCCTTCCAATAATAAACAAGGGATTCTTCCGCGTAGAATCAGCCATGTACGACTACACTAAACATCATTGTCGCTTTCAAATTCAAATCACTTACCTGCATATTTATATCCAGTCCTCCACCTAATTTCGAGGAGTAAGCATGGCCAATTTTAAGAACCATTTCTAATATAAATCAAGAGAAATGGAAAGGTTCTTTACTTTTCTCTTCATGTTAATTGTCTGGCAAGAGACTTTAGCACGTCCATCTGAGAGCATGAACACCTGCGTCCTCGATATTTAATATCTCAAAGAAAGATTCTCTGCTGCAAAAATTCACAGAACCTATATTAAACAACTATGCAAAATGAGTATTATAGATAAGTCATTTTTTATGAGATTAAAGAAGATTAGCTAAAATTTTTACTTTACGGCTCATCTTTGCAGGTTTATACATTATTTCAGACATCCTTCGGACATATAGACCGTCTTTAGTTTGTTACTCTTATATCTATAGATACCGCCTTAGGACCTTGCATCCATGCGCGCCTAGGTATGCTCCTTTTCGTCCCAGCTACGCTACAATGAAGCAATCGAAAACCGAGTAACTTCAGCGTTCTACTCTCTTCGACTGCAACAATCACTGTTCCATTATCCTTATGTCTCGCACCTCTACTGGTATTCTGCAACTAGAATATATGTTGAGTGTTGGATAATCATCAATAGTAAGATCTTAGTTTGCATATAAACAAAAATCCAATATCATGTTCGCAAACGTGCTAAAGCCAAGCTTAAGCTCTAAGTCCCTCTCTCTCTAGACCAACACAGTAAGAATGATGTTTTACAAAGAGTCCCGAAAACAGCAATCGCTTTTATTTAAAGGTTATGAAACAGCAATTAGGAGCTGGCATCCATGCTCGGCCTAGGTATGCTCCTTTTGCTTTCCCAGCTACGCTACAATGAACAAATGAAAAGCCAGTATCTTCAGCGTTTCCTCTTGCTTGTGCAACAATCACTGTCATTTCCTTATCTTGCAGCACCTCTAACTGGGTATTCTGCATAGAATATATGTTGATGTTGATGTTGATATTCATAAATAAAGATATCATGTGCATATAAACAAATCCAATATATGTTGAGTTCTAATGGAAGTTTTATTACCAGATAAATAGACTTTCCGCTCCCAAAAATGAAATCAACGGTGCCTTCAACGTAACAGTCTTTAAAAAAGTGAAACCCTTTGTCATCGCATATTGTATCTTGAAATCCAATAAATCTGCAATTGTAAAAACTTGACATACTTCCAGCAATTCTGAAAGCAACTGCTTGGGCTCCAGGTCTTTTTCCATCAGGCGCAGGTGCAGTATTCGAATGCGATAGTAAATCCATAAATTGTTAAAATGTGACAGAAATGAAAAGCATAAATAACGGAAGAAAAGCAAAAGCATTGTAAATGGACCTTGATAACTAAACCGCTTCCCACGAAGAAATCAGACTCAACTTGTAATGTTGCGCTATACACAGTTCCATATTCATGAGCAGTGCCAGCAAATTCTATGATTGTCTTCTCAGGTACTCCGACAAACGAAACAAAGGGCTTATCTTTTTCAACGGTAATTTTCTCGGTATAGGTTCCAGGTCAACAACGCGACAATGTCGCACTTTTTGGGCTTGAATGGCTCTTTCCACACATCTTTAATGTCTTGAACTCTCCACTTCCGTCAGAAACAAAGGGCTTATCTTTTTCAACGGTAATTTTCTCGGTATAGGTTCCAGGTCCAATATCCACAATCACGCGTTGTGCATTTTTGGCTGGAATGCTCTTAACAGCATCTGTTATAGTCTTGAACTCTCCACTTCCGTCTGCTCTCACCGTAATAGTTTTGGGAGTAGCTTCAGCTGCTTCAAGGTCAGCATTTAAAGTGCCCTTACGATCTGCCAATGGCTTGACATTAGCTTCAAACCAAGCGTTTACTTCAGCTTCAGCCTCTGGTATTGGTGCTGCATCATCAGAGCTAACAGTTATGGCTGTAAAAACAATGGCGATGATGGCATATTCGACGAATGCGAGGAGACTAAGGTGTTTAATCATCTTGTATAGATTTTTAGTTTCTTGATATGTTTCTTTTTTGTTATGAATGTGGCAATTTATATAACACTGAAGAGGAAGAAGTCTGAATACAATTGAGATTTAGAAAGTTTATCGCATTCTCTTGCTTTCTTTTGCAATAATGGGAGTGTTTCTCGTTTATCTTGTTTGAAATTTGTGGCTTGTGTTAATTTTATTTTTTATTTCTTTAGTTATTTTGTAATTCAAAATAAATACAAGTAATATTTTTTTTGCATACTAAAAAACAATGTAAAATACATTTAAAACTTAACTATTTTACCTAAACTTTTCAGTGTTAACTATTTTAATAACTTAAAAAATGAGTTATAGATATAAAAATGTGGTCCTACTAATACATATTTATTATTTTTTCCGACCACTTTCTCCAAACTCACTTCTGCCATAACTCTTCATAAATCAATCTTCAATTGTTAAGTTAGAGGGAGTAATTTTGCCTAAATTTGTACAGTGGAAACTATTTTTGATGTTCAGGGAAGAACCGTGTAATAGAAAATTAACAAATCTAGTATATAAATTTGTAATATCAATCATAATAAATTAGGTTTAGCAAAAGTAATCTAGCGAAAGCAAAAGCGTATTTATTTTAAAAAACGAAAAAGCCTTTTGCTATATCTTGAATTAGTGTAAGTGTAAATAAAACTCAAACATCAGAATTGGTATCAGGAAACTTGATATTAAATTTTTTTTTTTTCCTCTCCTTTCACGAATGGATCTCTTCAAAATTTGGTCCTATTAATACATATTTATTGTTTTTTCCGACCACTTTTCTCCGAATTCAATTCTGCCATAACTCTTCATAAATCAATCGTCAATTGTTAAGTTAGAGGGAGTAATTTTGCTTAAATTGGTACAATAGAAATTATTGTTTATGTTCAAGGAAAAACAATGTATTAGAAAATTAACAAATCTAGTATATGAATTTATAATATCAATCATAATAAATTTGGTTGAGCAAAAGTAATCCAGCGGAAGCAAAAACGTATTTATTTTAAAAATTGAAAAAAGCTTTTGCAACGTGTTGAATTAGTGTAAGTGTAAATAAAACTTAAACATGAGAGTTGGTAATAGGAAACTTATCATTAAAATATTTTTTTTCCTTCTCTCTCACGAATGTGTTTTAATGGAGCTATTCAAAATTACTATTGTGGATGGTGTAGAGACGTGGGTTCTTGCGAAAGCAAACCCACAACTATGATACTATTTAAGTTGACTTAAAATACAAATTGACTTAAAATACACATATTTAAGTTGCATTTATTCAGTTTGTATTCATACCAGTATCTAATAATTTTAATGAGTATAAAATACTTTAGTATTGAAGGCCAAATGGACTAAAATTATTCCATAAGATATATATAAACCTTTAAATTATTTTCAACACATCGAAATATATATGGATTAACATGTTTTGTTAATATTTCCATTTTTGAAATTATTTGTCCTATTTTTATCTCATGTCCATATTTGGTCTTTTTAAAAAATTACATGAGACTTGAGGTAATACTTAAATACAAGAAAAAAATATATAATTTGGAGGCATCAATATAAGTTGGAAAGAATTAATTTTTTTAGTGATTATTTTATTTTGTACAAAAATTAATTGGTCTACTACATTAGTTTAGAATATTTTATTTTTGAGTTGTATTTTTTTTAAATATGACTACATAAGTTAACAAATAAATTAAATAAATAATACAAATACTTAAATATACGAGCTGGGATAAAATTTATGGCTTCATCTCTTAATTTTAGATATTTATTAAATTTTAATTTTACTATAAATATTAAAATAATATAATAAAGTAAAAAAATAGAGAGATAGGATATATTGAAAAAAATAAAATGTATGGATAGCATTGTCAATGAATAAAGTGAAAAATTTTAAATGAATTGTATTTAACCATTCTTTTAACAAATATCAAATCTCCTTTTTTATCAAGAGAAAATAAATATAACCATGAGAAACATACATTCATCGACAATTGTGGAAGAAAAACTATTAAAATAACTAAAAATAAAAATATTTATAATAATAAGATATGATAATTATAAAATTATTATTCTGAAAAGAAATTACATTAGGTTTATGATAATAACCTAGTTTATTCACCCCAGGCAAGTATGACTTCGTGTACCCTAAACATCATTGCTCTCAAATTTATATATTTCTTGCAACAAATAACCTCCTCACAATTTGGGAGGAGGAAGCAGCCATTTAGAACCTTCAATATAACTGAGAGAAATGAAAGGTTTTACTTCGGCTTCAGTTAGTTGCTTGGCAAATTTAACACGTCCCTCAATAGCTGCGCCAGGTCCTGTATTTTTATATTCTCCAAAGAAGATCTCTCTGCAAAGCCCACAGAAAATTATTGAAATATGCAAAATGAGTGTTATATATTAGTCATTGAGTTTACAAATATTAGTTAAAAATTTCTTACGGCTCTCGTTCAGGATGTTGATTGTTAGACCATCCTTCGGGACAGATAACATCACTTATGGTACTATATGCAAATATCGCCTTAGGAGCTGGCATCCATGCTCGGCCTAGGAATGCTCCTTTTGCTTTTCCAGTTATGCTACAATGAACAAATGAAAAGCCAGTCTCTTCAGCATTTCCTCTTGCTTGTGCAACAATCACTGTCATGTCCTTATCTTGTATAACCTCTAACTGGGTATTCTGCATGGAATATATATTGATGGTGATATTCAAGAAATAAAGATACTATGTGCATATAAACAAAATCCAATATATGTTGAGTTTTAATGGAAGTTTTATTACCAGATAAATAGACATGGGAAATATATTTTGATTGGTGATATTCAAGAAATAAAGATACTATGTGCATATTAAACAAAATCTCAATATATGTTAGAGTTTTAATTCCTCTTGCTTGTGCAACAATCACTGTCATGTCCTTATCTTGTATAACCTCTAACTGGGTATTCTGCATGGAATATATATTGATGGTGATATTCAAGAAATAAAGATACTATGTGCATATAAACAAAATCCAATATATGTTGAGTTTTAATGGAAGTTTTATTACCAGATAAATAGACTTTCCGCTCCCAAAGATGAAATCAACGGTGCCTTCAATGTAACAGTCTTTAAAAAAGTGAAACCCTTTGTCATCACATATTGTATCTTGAAATCCAATAAATCTGCAATTGTAAAAACTTGCCATATTTCCACCAATTCTGAAAGCAACTGCTTGGGCTCCAGGTCTTACTCCATCAGGCGGAGGTGCAGTATTCTAATGCAATAGTAAGTCCATAAATTGTTAAAACGTGACAGAAATGAAAAGCAGAAATAACGGAAGTTAAGCTAAAGCGTTGTAAATGGACCTTGATAACTAAACCGCTTCCCACGAAGAAATCAGACTCCACTTGTAATGTGGCGCTATACACAGTTCCATATTCATGAGCAGTGCCAGCAAATTCTATGATTGTCTTCTCAGGTACTCCGATAAATGAAACAAAGCCCTTTTCTTTTTCAACGGTAATTTTCTCGGTATAAGTTCCAGGTCCAATATCCACAATCACGCGTTGTGTGTTTTTGGCTGGAATGCTCTTAACAGCATCTGTTATAGTCTTGAACTCTCCACTTCCATCTGCGCTCACCTTAATAGTTTTGGGAGTAGCTTCAGCTGCTTCAAGGTTCCCATCTAAAGTGCCCTTACGGTCTGCCAATGGCTTGACATTAGCTTCAAACCAAGCGTTTACTTCAGCTTCAGCCTCTGGTATTGGTACTGCATCATCAGAGCTAACAGTTATGGCTGTAAAAACAATGGCGATGATGGCATATTCGACGAATGCGAGGAGATTAAGGTGTTTAATCATCTTGTGTTGATAAGGATTGGTTCGTTGATATGAATTGCTTGTTTGATTTCATTAAGGGAATTGCAATTTATATTACACCATATAAGAAGAAGTCTTAATGTAAATGAGATTTAGCCAGCTTATCGGATCCTCTTGCTTCTCGTTCGTAGTGATAGGAGAGTTTCTCGTTCTACCCTATCTGAAATTCATGGTTTTCCTTTTCCATGATTTTAGTTTCTATTTTTTTTTCTTTCCTCGTATTGAATAGAGGTTAATTTGTTTTTTATTGCCTAATAACAAAAAAAAGTCTTTAGTTTTTTTTTGGAAATTTACTATCACACTAAGACTAAGACTCCGTTTGTTTCCATAAAATAACTTGCAGAAAAATATTTTTTCACAATTTTTCGTTATTTGGAGCATTCAGGAAAATAAGTGAACGAAAAATATTTTCTTAATAAGTGAATCGAAGAAATATTTTCTTCTTGATCAAATAGAAAAGTTAAGGTCATTTTGATTAAGGAGAAAACAACATACTCATTTTTTTAGAAAGAGTAAAACGTTTCCATAAAATAACTTGCAGAAAAATATTTTTTCACAATTTTTCGTTATTTGGAGCATTCAGGAAAATAAGTGAACGAAAAATATTTTCTTGATCAAAGGAAAATTAAGTCATTTTTTAAGGAAAACAACTACTCATTTTTTAGAGAGTAAAACATTTTCCAGACATTAGCAAACCTTATAAATCCATATTTTTTAATCTATTGATCATTATAGTCACTACCACCAGTCACCATTTACCACCGTCCACCACCACCGATTTTCATAATTAACATTTTTTTTTACATTCTTTTCATATTTAATAATAAAATTTTTAAATTATAAAATTTCTATTATTTTTAATATTTTTTATAGTCTTATAAGATAAAGACTTTAATATTTAACTAATTTTCAATATTACAATTAAACAAAGGAAAATAAGTCATTTGAAAAATATTTTTGAAAGAAAATATTTTCCATGAAAATATTTATCAGCAAGTTATTTTCTTACAAATTATTTCATGGAAACAAATAGAGCCTAGATTATTTCAAAATAAATTTTTTTCATAATTTCAAATATTGGTTGCGGCAATTTTACCAATTTGAAATATTTTTTATTTTCGATATGTTATAAGACCTGAGAACATTTATTATTACATTTGAAATTACCATGATTAAGAACTTTAGTGTGACTATAAACCAATTATAGTTAAGTGTTGTAATTTATCGTTTCTATTCTTATCTCTATATAACAAGAACTCTTTCTATCTTTCAGACAAAAACAGTTTAATTAGATGAGTGATAACTAAGAGTAATGTAATGATAATAATGGCTTTATGTATCTATGAATGCTAAAGAAAGATAGTTTTTGCGAAGTCTATAATTTCTTTAAACGTTTTGTTTTTCTTGATTAACAAATAAATTAAATGTTTCCTAATGAATTTTGGCTAAGGATATTTGAGTTATAGCCAAAGTTAAGAAATTCGGTGTTTTAACTTTAAACTCCAATGAAGCCAAATGGGTTAATATCAATAAGGTGTTGATTGAGGTGCTGAGCGACTCCAACTTCTGTAAGATCTGGAAAGCATCATTTACTAAGAGAGTTAAAAATCTTTACGTTCTACAGTTCAAAGGGGATTACATGCACCTAGTTAATTTTTATTTTGATTTATTGAATACATTAATTTATAAAATTGCATATGGTAAATAATTTAATTGATCCGTACAATCTATCAACTTGTAAAATTAAACCGATCAAATATTTATTTAATAATTAAAAAATGTGAAAATTATTATTCTAAAAAACAGTATTAACTACTTATCGAACTAATATTTTACATATAAAAATCAAAAATTTTAAAAATTATGATTAACAGTGAGGAGGTGTGAAATTTAAGGTGCCATATGTTCAATTTTTTAGAATTTAAAATATCATAAGATTTTTTTTCCACTAAAAACAAAAAATGATGCATCATAATGTCTTAAGTGATTTGAAGTATTCATTTTTCAATAACTATTAATCAGTATATAGAGATATATAAACTTCATCAGAGGTTATCTCAAGAGGATCCGTGGCGCAATGGTAGCGCGTCTGACTCCTGATCAGAAGGTTGGGTGTTCGATTCTAATCCTACATCCTTACACGGGTCAATTTTTGTCCTTTTACTATTTATTCACTTCAAGACGAGGGAATAGGAAGGAGTATAAATTTATTTTCTCGTCATATATTCAATACAAAAATTAATAAAATTGGTGTTAATCCAACGATGTTTAAGAATAATGGCCAAGATTCATCAATTTTTTTAAATCACACCGAACTATTTTATTTATTTAATTCTTGACTTGACACATCACAAATTCTTAAAAAAGAAAGATTTATTAATTATTATAATTTAAATTCTTGTTCTTTTTATTCATTAAGCAGGCACTTGACTTCCGCGATAGTTGCCCACTGACAACTCACCTCCTTTATGTTGAGGGTTTATTAGCAGCTATTAGCTTGGAAATTGTCTCTGCATCAGTTTTGAATGCCTTAGCAAGAATTTCAGCACTAATCCCACTTCCAAACACATTAGCCGGCAAAGAACCAGTCCCAGCATTTGCGCTTCCAAACATCCCAAGAGCATAAGCAGGATAATCACTTCTTGTATTAACCTGAAAATGAACGAGTCCTTTAGGGAAGATAAACATGTCAGGAACTTGAAGAGTTTGGGTAAACAGTTTGTTTGTCGAATCCACAAACCCAATTTCTAAAACGCCTTGTATTACTATCAGTAGCTCAGCTGCTCTTGGATGAACATGCGGAGGGTTAATTCCTGAAGGAGGATATATAAGAGCAGCAACTGATACTCCTTGGCCTTCTAGAGCAGGAAATTCTTTCATTGATGCTTTTGTAACTATTGCTGTCGTTTGGCCAGTTAAGTTGACATTTACTAGTTCTCTAAACCCTGTGTATGTGAAATATTGGCTAGTTATGTTGGCGGGGTTAGCAATATCTGTAGGTATTAAGTAATCTTTAAGGATATCTGGGTCTCCTGCATTACCCAAAAACGAATTTGATAATGCTATGATTATGGTAAAGGCTATGGAAGTGTAAAGCTTTTCCATTGTCGTTTAACGAGTCAAAATGAATTGATGTTTTTAAGTTGTGGTTATATGGGAGCTATATATAGATATGCAGTTGATAAAGACTAATTAACCTGGAATTAAAGCCAGAAGAATATATAGTTGGCAAGCGGTGATTCATAGGTGATTAGCAGGAAATTGATATAATTTGTTTTTGTTATATGCATCCAGGTTGCATGAGATTCTGAAACAAGGCATCTATATTGTACAAAGAAAAAATGTTCATGCCAGACTTATTATTCCTTTAATTTTTTTTCTCTCGAGATTTTAATTTTAGTTATTTGGGTTAATTCATATGGCCGATCTAACTAGATTCAGATTAATTAATGCATCGTTCGATAGGTACGAAAGCAATTAATTTATTCACCAAATATATACGGCCAACGAGTCTTGAATATGTATTTACTGAGGATACTGGACAAATTCAGCATTTTCAACTTAAAAGTAGAATCTGAAATCTGATGACGGTAACTATGATGCTGTAAAGGCCTCACTTATAAGGTCTTTAGCAAGCATATTATTTTTCGTAACAAGGCGAACTGGACACATAGACAGTAATGAAATTAATATATCCAATTTGCATAGACTCAAAATAGATTTCCTTCTCATTCTGTACTTTTCCTTCCAAACAAACAGAACCTTGCTTCCAATAAACATACCAAAAGACAATAAAAGGAATTAAATATGAAAGAAGGTTGCAACTTGAAGTTGATCAACGTAATTGTAAGGATTTTAAATTATAAAATATTCATTCATTGCCTTCGGATGATCAAGCTCTTCTGCTTAATTGCCTAAACCAGTTGGAATATAATAAAACAAAAAATAAAATGTGATAATTGTATAGGTAGTGATGATGCGTAATTGGAAATTTACTCCAAGAATTTTTTTTTTTTTTTTTTTTTTTTTTTTTTTTTTTTTTTTTTTTTTTGATTGTCCTGTCTCATTCTGTTAGCTTTTCTGTCGCAATACAAACAGAACCTGTGGCTTCCAAATAAGAACATGGGAACCAAAAAGATCGAATAAAAGGAATTGAAGTCTGAAATGAAGGGTGTGCAACTTGAGATTGAATCAACGTAATTGTAAGTGATTTTAAATTATAAAAGATATTCATGTCATGGGTGCCTTGGGATGATCAAGCTCTTCTGCTTAATTGCCTAAACCAGTTGGAATTATAGATAATAACAAAAAAAGTAAAATGTGTAATAATTGTTGAATAGGTAGTGAGATCGCGTAATTATGGAAATTTTACTCCAAGAATTGTTTTTTTTTTTTTTTTTTTTTTTTTTTTTTTTTTTTTTTTTTTTTCCTTTTTGTTGTTTTTTTTTTTTGGTATTTAACCACAGGCTGTGGCCTAATTTTTTTTTTTTTTTTTTTTTGGTATTAACCACAGCTGTGACTAAATCCTGCTCGTCCAACAGTCTTTGGTTCCAAGATATCTTATTTTTGTTTTGTCTCAAACTGCAATTTGAGTTATTATTGAGAAAAACATTATACGAAAAAACATGAGAAAGTAAATTTGAGTTAGTGTTTATTTAGTATGGATTTGGATATGAAAGCAGAATGAAAATAAAAACATTAACTCAGGAAAATACAAGAGAGCAAATTAAAGCTTCCGCATTCTGCATGTGTAGGTGTAGGTATCCATTTCTCATCTCACCCTCAAAATTAAACATGGATTTCTAGAACCTGCCATGAATAATTCTCCTTGAAATATTAACGGTAAAATTTTGAAAGTGTCTTCTGGATTATTTGAGTCTCATCAGTAACAATCCCTTTGATCACCTTATACTAAAAACAGCAAATAACAAAAAAAAAATGCAATAATTAATCGACAAGAAAATTATATATGCAAAATAAATCATTATTTTCACTTTGTTGCAGGAATTACAAAATACTTGAAATAAAATCTTGCCTGGATGACTATTGTTCCACTGAGCCAGAGCTCATTGGTAACTAACATACATGTCAAAGTAGCATTCTAATGCTTTTAACTTATTATGAAGCAAATCTGTGGTTACATAAAAGCTGTATACAAACAAAAGAACCATATCTACTGCTACTTGTTTGCCTCAATTAGCTTGCTTATGGTCTCCTCATCAGTTTTAAAAGCCTTGGCAAGAATTTCTGCTCTGATTCCACTTCCAAATAAAGAACTGGGCAAAGAAACAGTTCCAGCACTAGCACTACCAAAAACTCCAAGAGCAATAGAAGGAGAATCACTTCTTACATTAACCTGAAAATGAACCAGTCCTTTTGGAAAAATAAACATGTCAGGAGCCACAAGTGTTTGTGTAAACAGCTTATTTGTCGTATCAACAAACCCAACTTCTAAACTCCCAAGAAGTACTATTAGCAGCTCAGATGCTCTTGGATGAATATGTGGAAGGTTCATTCCAGAAGGAGGGTATATTATTGATGAAACTGAAACTCCTTGGCCTTCCAAGGCAGGAAATTCTTTCATTGTCGCTTTGGTTATTAGAGCTGTCGTTTTTCCTGTTAAATTTGCATTCCTGAGAGGCCTGAAGCCTGTGAAAGTGAAATATTGCCTTGTTATGGTGCTAGGATCAAGACTTGGAGGCACTGAAAAATCTTTTAGAATATCAGGGTCTCCTGCTGTGGCTAAGATTGCGTTTCCTATTGTAAGGAAAAAGAAAATAGTTATGTAACTGCAAATTTTTTCCATTTTATTATGTATTGAAAATTTGGAAGTGGCTTGAATTGTTGAGATGTGGTTATATCTATATATAGCAATTTTTGGGTTGGACAGTTCTTGATTGTTTACTAATATGAAACCTGCAAAAGTGAAATATACTACACTTAGGCAAGCGATGCTTTTGAGAGTTTTTGGATGTTTTCTGTTTGCAAATTACTAAACAAATGTTCTCTACTTTTATATACTAAGATTCTTGATTTAAAAGAAAAAAAAAAAAGAATTTTTATTGAAGTTGGCTATTAGAAAAGTTCTTTTAAGATTTATACATATATTTATTAATGAAGGTAATGACAGATGGATCATATTCATGAAAATTTAATGGCGGATTGCTAATAAGCCTCACTCATATCGCCTTTTGAATACTTTTTTGTCAACAACTATATTTTGTTGGAATGAATAAACAATTAGGCAACAAAAACAAAAAGAGTATATGATTCTAGGTAGCGAAATGTAAACTTGATTGTTGTTTTCACTGAAAAATGACTATATGTTCATGTGTATATATATATATATATATATAAATTAATGCCGCGGGATTGCTAATGAAGCCTCAACGTCGATATCGCGCTTTGTGAATAGCTTTTTTTTGTCAAAGAATCTAGATAGTTTGTTGGAATGAATATAAACATATTAAGTGCAACAAAAAAAGAAAAAGAGTGAATAATGATTGCTAAGGTAGCGAAATAGTAAACTTTGAGTTGTTGTTTATCACTGAAAAATGAGCTACATATTTGCCCAATGTGTATATATATGAATATATTATTATATTCATGTGAATAATTATATTTTAATTTCTGATGTATACATATAATTAATTAATTTTAATTTTTAAGTTAAAAAGCAAAAAAAAAAAAAAAAAAAAAAAACTAAGTTTATGCTTGATCCAGCTAAGCACTTCTGCAAAACAAAACAAAGGTTGTGTTGTGCAAAGTTAAATGTTATTGTTTATGGTATTCGGTAACGTAACATTTAAACTAAATTTTAGACTAATGTAGTGTTTTATGAAAAAATTAACTCAAATTAATACTACTAGAACAGTTATACGGCTAAACGTTATTTGATATAGCTAACAACTATCAAAATAAATAAAACATTAATAAAACGGCTAATTTTGTCCAACGGCACAAGAACCCAATCCATTTATGTTTCGTGTTTAATCTAATTCACCTCTTTAACAGAGCCCAATTCAACAAAAATCCCGTACTAAGGCCCAAAATGACCCAAACTTCACTGTTCGAAACACCACCCACTCTCCAACACCGTCCGGATCCACCTGTTCACCAACCAAAAAAAGCCAGTCCCACTCTACAGTGCATATGGCGTACGGTGGAGAGAGACAGAAAGAATGTTGAGTGGGGCTCCGTCCTAAGAGTGCGCAGAACAGGTAGTGGTTTAAGTAAGTATTTAGGCGTGTATGGTGGCGGAGTTGTTGGTGAAAATTTCTAGTTGTTGTCTTCTAGTGCGCACTTCACCACCCTTTGCACGCTAGCATCCTCCACTCACTTCTCCTGGTGGTTGTCCCCACTCTCTCCTTCCTCTCTTAACTACACCTCACCCACATTTTAATTTTATCAAAACCCACTTCCAACAATGATACCCACCGCCTCCACCACCACCATTTGCCCTTTTCCCTTTTCGCTTCTTATCTTTAACCCACCACCAATCATATCTCATTTCACCGATATTTTCTTCAATTTCTCTTTTCTTCCCTACCCACCGCCTCCGCCAACTCCGCCATGTCAACTCCTCCTGAATCGACAACCAGACGGGTTCCTCCGCCGTGTTGGACTCAAGAGGAAACCCTAATTTTAATCGAAGCTTACCGTGATAAATGGTTCTCTGTTAACCGTGGACATCTCCGGTCGGCAGATTGGGACGCCGTTGCAACTGCTGTTAATGAGTCAGCTTCTGCTGACCCGCCTAAATCGTCTTTACAGTGCCGGCATAAGATCGAGAAGCTGCGAAAGCGATACCGTACGGAGAAACAGAGGTGTCTTAATTATCCAGGTCGGTTTCTCTCTTCTTGGAATTTGTTTCCTTTATTGGATTCTATGGCAATTGGGTCTGCTGGAAATAAACAATGTCAAGGTATTGAGGAATCGAATGATATTGGAGATGGGTTTCGAGTGAAAACCCTAGGAGATAGGTATTTGGTAACACCAAACAATTTGAGCCATATGGATCGAGATTTTGAGCCGGATTTTGATTTGGGTTTGGATCCGGATTTAGCATTGAGGGCTAGGAAAGTAAGCAGGATAGAAGCGGTTTCTGATTCTAATATTTCTCATGCTTCAGAAAATGGGTTTTATCTGAAACCTGTTAGTGATCTGAATGCAGTGTCTGTGGCTTTTAGGCCAAGATATTGTGGAGGAAGAGTTGTTAATGGGTATGAAACTGGTGTTCCCATGAAAATGGAAAAAACAGAAATGGGTAGTAGTTTTTTGCCACAGGGGCCTAAACTGAAAAGTTATCGCAAGATTAGTGGTGATTCTGATGTTGGTGAAGGTGGTGATGCTTATGTTGGGTTTCCTGTAAAAACCCTGGGTGACGTGCCTCGAGGGTTTAGGCCTAAAAATTATAGAAAGATTGATAGGAAGGCTAGCCCTAATTTTGTTAATGATCTTAACTATAGAAGTGAGACAATAAATGATAAAAGAGATCGTTTGGTTGCAGAAAATGTAGTTGGTGGGTGGATATCACCTCCTCCAGTGTTTAAAGCGAATAATTATTGCAAGATTGATGGAAGTTCAAAGCTTGATGTTGATTCAAAGATTTTGAATGGCTTTGGTGATGTCAAGAAGAGTGACATTCAAGGAACTGGCCGTAAAGAAGCTTTGGATCCCATTGCAGAGTTAGTGTCTGCAATTAAGATGTGTACGACAAGTTTTGTGAAGGTGGAGAAGATGAAGATGGAAATGGCAATGGAGATTGAAAAATTGAAGATGGATATGTTATTAAAACATAACCAGATGATACTCGAATCGCAAAAACAGATTGTGGATGCATTTGTGACAACATTATTGGAAAAGAAGAAGAAGCAAAGGGAGGAAGTGGAGGAGTTGTCACCTTATGAAGATAAAAATGGCGACAACTCTCAAGTTGCAGCATTAGACTGTGAAAGCATTGGCAAAAGTGCTGTTGTAAAAGAAGGATGCCAAGATGTTGTTCTCACTTGATTCACAGATAATGCAGAAGCTGTCAGAGCTACACGCACTAACAAATCCTACAAAAGAACTCTTACCATAACCTGATGGATTTTTTCCCCTGCTTTTACTTTTGTGTAGTTAATGGATCTTACAGTTTTGATAATTTCAATTATTTCCTTATTCAGACTTTGTAAATTCATTTGAAAGAGCACCAGTCAAAATATTTATCCCCATAAATTCATGGCTTTTAATAGTTCGTTTACATGTACGGTATCCTCGAAAGCAAATGTATTTCAATTCCATAAATTATTGAATCCCCATTTCTAATAAAGGTGAAAGGTGAGTTTTATAGGACGTAGAGAAAGATGTCTGAGAAGATTTTTCATGTACTAAGGGATTGATAAAGTCGATTTCATTTAGTTCAATACATATATATTACTCAATACATGGGAAAAAAAAATGAAACGTCAAATGAAAAGAACAGAGCCAAATTGCAATGTCCAACTTACCTAATGGACAAAATTTGAATTTTAATATCTTTGAAAATGAACTACTACCTAAATGAAAATGAAGTAGGATTTAAAAAAGAAAAAGAAAGGTTAATGGCGACTGCTACAGTAACTGGAAGGGACAGCAGATAGCTCCTGTCTTCCTTTCCACTCTTCACCAGGCTTCAAAGTTATAGGCGTTTCTACGCAAGAAGCTTCTACACACAACATATGCTTGTATTCAGAGTCTCCAAAATCAGGCATTGCCTTTGCTTTCTTATCCCACGGATTCCAGACCGCTGCAAATTTAAGAAACACAACATGCTGAGTTATCTTTACAAGAGTTTGTCTGGCCATTAACTAAAAGTTTTATGAAATTCCTTCATAAATTTATATTTTATTTTTCGTGTAAATAAAAAAATTCTACTGTTTTAACCCAAACATGAATGAATTTTTTAAAATGCGCATTTTCTTTTTATCGTATTGTTATCTTACCAGCATCAGGAAGGCTATCCTTTCGTAGCACAAATGTTCTCTTCTTTTCATGGTCCAGAATAGCAATTTTGGTTGGTGTACTAACGTATATCTTATCCACCTTCACAAATAAAAAATGATAATTATATAATAAACGAAGTCTAATAAAAAAAAAAAAAAAAGAACATTTTGGCTCTGTTTTTTTTAAATATTTATTGGCATTTTAAGAATTCAAGAAAATAAACAAAATAAAGATACTAACTTCTGATTCAAATGTTATTGCGTCTTCTTGTTCAGTAAATCTTTCCTTATTCTTCAGGTTATCTAGATAATCCAGAGTCTCTAATCCTTCAACACGCACTTCACTGCGGAAAAAAAAAAACAAAAAAGCAAAAAATCAAAGTTTCGACTTGATTTCCATTTCATATCATATTAATTATTAGAGACATCAAACTGGGTTAAATGTTTTGTAAGAGAACCTGATATCAGAAACAGCAAAATAGTTCTTGTAGCAAAATGTGAATGCAAATGGCTTTCCGTCCGTATTTGTATTTCGAATTCGAGAAGTTAACATTAAATCTCCTCCAGGTCCCAAAGTAATCCTCAGGCGAAACTCATATCTGCAAACAATTTCAAAACATTTCATATCTGCAATTGTTGAGTTTACCAAACATTTCAAATCCAAAAAGATACTAAATTAGATATGTCATAAAATTGTGTATGCACCTCTGGGGCCAGATCTTAACACCTTCTTCAGAATGTTTAAGAATTAAATCAATGAAAGCTTTGTTGCAACTATTTGTTGTAAAAGGAGGGGGATCAGGGTCAATTCCCCATAACCTGCTTCTTACACATCCATGTAGTTCAGGAGAACTGTGACTTCCAAACTGCACATTTCAAACGCTTTAAATTTACTTTGAAGATTAAAATAAATAAATAGATATTACTTTTAGCAGAACATACTTGAGGAAAACAAATTTGGATGCCTCCACCAGTTAGTTTTGGGGGCTGAAAAGTGGCCTGCATAAACCATAACATGCAAAATTACTATTATAGAAACTGTCAGTTAAGCAACAGACCTTAAAATGAGAAATGCAAATTATACTTACCTTGCTACTAATAAAAAGCATTTCTTCCCCATTTTCATTTTTCCAAGATGTCACTTGCCCTCCACAAAGGTACACCTGATCAAAATACAATTGCTACTCTGAGTTTTTATTTGATAAATCATAATAAGACGTAACGTAATTAAATATATCTCTATTTATAATATTAAAACTAGAAAGGAATTTGATTATGTTATATTGCATTCTATTACGATATTTCTGGAATATGATATTTTATATCTCAATTAAAAATATGATTCTTTCACTAAAACCAAATGAGAGTTTTTTTTTTCTCTCCACAATGTAAATGAAATTATGAAAAGAAAATTGGTGCTTAATTAATGGCTGCCAGCATTCAGATCTCATCAATATAAAATTATAAAAAAGGAGAAGCCAATAAATGATATTGTAGGCAACAAAAACTAAAACAAATATATTACAATTCGGAATCCATTTGTTTAAAAAATTTCGGATCCAATTGAATAATAAAATTATATAATCAAAACAAAAAGGCCATTGTTGAACTTTATTTCAAAAATTCAAAAATGAAGATTGAAAGAGAGGAAATTTATGAGAAAACATAATAATACCTCCGCAGAGAAACCGCGAACCTCTCTGAGAATGACCTTGTCGTGGCCATTAACGCCCTTGCAACCCTCTACATATTTAAACTCTGTCTCCTTTGCCATTCTCTAATTCCTATCAAATGTCAGATCCAGAGATGCATTTTCTGATCTACATGCATGCAGTTACTGGATTCATGGCTCAATTAATGTTTTTGCCCATCCAAATTATTTAAATGATAATGCTAGTCGTTTGTTTTAAATGAAAGACGTCTTCCATCTAGTTTTGTCAATGTTGGAAAAACGATGGGTCGTTTTTCATCCAATTCCTCACTGCAACGCGCCACACGTAACGAGTTGAAGTTGTATTCTAGTCTGTTGTAGAGAATGAATTGTTCATCTTTGAATCAGAATTTACAGATTTGCCATCCCATTGAATTTTTTTTCTCTTTTGAGGGCTGGGGCCCAACCCAAATTTAAGGCGCGCATCTAGGTTGTCTAGCTTGGACAAAATCATCGGCAATAAGTCGAGTTGGGCCAGGCCTTAGCCTAGGGTAAAATTCTGGCTTGACTTGGGTCCAATTTCAAACCCACCTCATTCTTTTATCAATCAATAAACAAAATAGCAATGGCCAAATGGATATGTACAAAAAAATTTTTATTTTATGAAAAAAATTTTAAAAATCATTATTTATAAACCCTTATTTAAGAAAAAAATAAATAAATAAACCAATATTAAAGTGTTAATCTTCTTACCAACTGAGGTTGGAGTAATGGAACTTAGATTCTTTAAATGAGTGTTGGATCTTTACAGATAAAGAAAATCACTATTGGGAGCATTTTCTTTTCCTCTCCATCTTCCATGTGAGAGTAGACAGACTGCAGTAGGTGGCATTAGTTAGTTTATAACTGTTTTCCAGGTTCTGCTGCTTCTATTTCTTTTTCTTCTGAAACAGTTTTGTCCTCTTATACAGTACCTACTTGCCTCATCCAACTTTTTCATCAAGTCTTAAAGCAATCATTTATGTATAATCCAATAGTTAGATGATTTATCTCATAATGCAAATATACCATTTTCAACAGCTTTTTTGTCTTCTTTCACTTAATTAATTATTAGCCAGTACGATTTTATTTTCACTTATATATATATATATTCAATTTATCACTTAATTCTTACTTTGATACAAATAAATATATTTAATTACACTATAGTATAATATAATTTTAACTTCTCATTTCATCGATCAAGATTCGCTTTACAAAATCTATGCACTTAAAATATGTTGAATTTCAAATTGGGCAAATAGCGAATGTATAAAAGTTTGAAATTTCTCTAAAAGAAAAAAGACTTGATTTCAATAAATTGAACTCATGACCATGTTTTGGGTGTTATATAAAAAAATAGATAAATGGAAAGGAAAGAAAGTAATGACGTGGGTAGTAGAGGGGTTCAACGAAAGTGGAGAAACAGAAAGAGAAAGATGTGAAAAAGAACTGAAAACAAAACAGAGGGCCACTAATGGAAGAACACTTGAAAAGCAGTGGAACTGAAATTTTCTTGTGGCCACCAATTAAGGGTTCAGGGTAATTAGGAAAAGAATGAAAATTTTCAATCAGATTCAACAATAAGTATTTGTATAGGTCATATCACACTATCTATCAAACAATTAGGAGCCATCCACTTTCCATATTTCTTTCTAGGTATTGAAAGGCCTATATAGATATTAGCATTCCTACTTCACCACTGTTGTTTTTTTTTTTTTCTTCACAAAAGGGGCAAATCTCTAGAGACCATGAATAAGGTATAGCATAGAAATTCCACTTATATTATGTAAAATGAAAATTTTAATATATTATTTCAAAGCACAAATATGAACATTTAGAGCATGAAAAGCAGAACTTGTGATGATACCATATATTAATAAAATGAAATGATTTTAATATCTTGAATAAATCTTATATATTGATTAAACGCGATATCTCAAATTAACGTAAAACTAACAAACTCAGCAAATAAGAACCTGGGACATGTAAAATAAATAAATAACTCATTGACAATTGTTTCAATAGGAAAAAAATAGCTAAATTCAGATGAAAAGCATGGTAAATTTTCTCTTTCAAGTGTTTAAAAGGATTTCATATCCAGAATTCAAACTTAAAAATTTTAGTTAAAGAAAAATAAATCTCTGTCGTCCTGTTTTACCCCTAGGTAAATTTTATTGTTTGTGGAAAAGAAAAACAAGGTAAAACTTGTCAAGTCATTGCCTTCCCTTTTACAAGTTTTTGGCTGTATTGAATGAGCTAATCATATCTCTATTATAAATAAATCCTTATCTTTAAAAGAGATGTCAACTTGCCCATTTTGGAGGAGCTAGTAAATGACAAAATTGAAGTGCTTATTGGCGTATCATACACTTTATGGAGAGAGGTTCAATGTATTGTATTGTTCATTACTCATTATTTCCTATGGCCCAGTATGATCTCAATCGTCCTTTCAACTTCTTCATGGAGTATGTTTTTTCTTTCCATGACAGATAGACCAATAAAGAAAAATAAAGATCCAAGTATAGAAAATCTCTCTTTCTTTTACATAGAAATTTCTTTATACAAGACTGGGGGCTTATTGTTAACATTTTATACTAACAAATAAACAATCAACTCTTTAACTATTGACCAAATGCCCCATAGGAACTTCATCTCTCTCTCTTAATTTCTCTTTCTCTTGCTTTGTTTTACTTGACCCTTTTATCTTATCATTTATTGTTTATTTTCTCCATATCCAAGAAAAGGATTCTTAAATTAAAGAAAGATGAGAAAGGATAAAAGATAGGGCAAATAGAGTAGTTTTGTTACTATAGGACTTGAATATCTAGCTTACTTTGTTGGATTGATGGGTGTTGTTGCATGTCACCAACACCCACTTCCATCTCTTCTGCTTGATAAGTTGAATGTACACCATATAACACATAAAACAAAGTTATCAGACATGTCCATACAGCAAATCTTTGGAAAGAGAGCAGCTTTAATGTGGTCATAAGAAAGACGTTAAGGAATATTGAGGCTGCAGCTGGCCATGGCATGAATGGCACTGACCATTCTTCATTTGGTTGGCTTATGGAAGGTACCATGTATTGAAAGAAAGCTGTAAGGACAACTATAACTAGACCAAATAGTGACAAACCCCATTTTTGTTCTTCAAGTTTCCATGAAATAGAGAAGCCAATTGCACTAGATGAAAGGAGGAACAGGAACAAGAGAGTATGAGAAGGAGGATTATGGCTAATGATTACGTATCTCCGGTAGATGAGAGCATTGGCCACCATGTAGAACACCAATAATGTGCTGATTGATATCATTTCAATGACTATGTTGAGGTCAGTGAAGAGTGCAATTGAAGCTGTGCAGAAACCTACATCAAAAAACAAAAAAATAAATTTCTTTTCTTACATCTAATGTATTACTTTTGATCCCAATATATGGAAATATTATTTTCTTACTATTGTTAATGAACATCAAAGTGATAAGCTTTGCTTGTGCGAATCCAACATTCTACTAAAGGACTTTCCAATGGTTTGGACATTTAATCTACTTTATAAGACTATGCATGTTCCTCAGTCCCTTATTAGCTAATTCTCTCAAATAAAGCAAAGTGGGAATTTGCATTTGTAAGTGCTTTCACCGTATGTGAAAAACTGAAGAAGAAAAGAAACTTTCAGTGTTAATTAAGGAATAACTTACCCAAGAAGAGTGTAGCGTTCAAGGGGGTGCCTGTGGTGGGATGCACCTTAGCCAACCAAGAAGGCACAAGCCTAGCCCTTGAAATGACACAAAGGTATCTTGCTTGGCCTAACATGGCAACCAAGAGAGAAGCCACGATGCCCAAACTTGCTCCTGCTCCAACCACATTGCTTGCCCACTTCCACCCAACATTTGCGAAAACCGTCGAAAATGATGCGTTCGATTGTATCTACACACAATTGATTTGAAGAACATACCTAATTAATAAGATTTTATATAATCATGCACTTATGGGACTTAATATAATGTCTAATACTTTTGCATATACACAAAACACAAACACACACACACACATATAATTATATAATTATTTAAAAAAAATTAGACCACTTACCATATTATAAGGCACCATCATACACAAAGATAAGGCCATGAGGCAATATAGCACACAGACTATTAGAAGAGAACCCAAAATGCCCACTGGAAGGCTTCTTGAAGGATTTTGGATCTCTTCTGCCATAGTTGAAACGGAGTCGTATCCAATAAAGCTGAAGTATACCACAGCTGCTCCATTAATTACACCTTTAACACCAAAAGGAGCAATCCCTCCTGGCTTGATCAAGTTCTTGGCACTCCCATTGGAGAGACCAGCAATTATGATAAATCCAAAGAAAATGACATGGAAGACTGTCATTATTAGGTTCAGTATTGAGCTTTCCTTTGTACTGCAATCCAAAAAAAAAAAAAAAAAAAAAAAAAAAAAAAAAAAAAAAAAAAAAAAAAAACAAAAAAGAACTTCCAAAAAAAAAAAAAAAAAAAAAAAAAAAACAAAAAGAACTTCCATCACTTTCAAAATGCATTAACCATTAATACTTCACTGCCCAACAACTAAAAGTTTCTTCACTAACTAATAAAATAAATTATACTATTTAGCTATGCCAACTAACAAGAAAATTAAAACAATATGTAAATTAACCAGTCAAGATTGTAGATCCAATGGTGCTAATTAATCACTCCCCATCCAATAGTAATAACTATTATATTATAAATTTATAATTCAGATCCACTAATAATTTAATGCCCGCTTATTCTTGCCAAGGAAATTGTGATAAAAATTTTGTTTGCACCTAAGATTATTAGAATAGCAATACAAAGAAAGAATTGCAAATAAAATATATAGAGTTCTAAAGAAATCAAAACCTATAGCAAAGGCAGAGAGTGAGAAGAAGAATAAGAGCAACAGCTGGGAAATCCAACTGATCATAACCCTCTACCAATCCATTCACTTGAACTCTCCATGACTTTGGATCATTCTCTCCCACAGCATGGCAGAGATATTCTGTGAAACTTCTTGCAACCGCAGCATTTGATAATACATATTCCATTAGTATGTTTGCTCCAGCAAAATAGCCTGTGAACTCTCCTATATAAATAAAAACATCACATCCGAAATAAGAAAAAGGAAAGGAAATTATTTGAAGAAAGAAAAAATTAGAAGAAAAAATTAAAGGAATAATTATTAGTTAACATATATAATCAAGACTTGATCATGATAGTACTTAATGTATATCGAGAAATGGATTCTTGTGGGCATTATTAATTACCAAAAGTCACTCTCAGATAACTAAAGGCCCCACCGGCAACCGGAATCTGAACAGAAAATTCAGTGTAACATAAAGACGAAAGAAGAGCTGATATGCCAGCAATAATATAAGATATGAAAACTGCAGGGCCAGAGACTTCATGTGCCACAGGGCCAGTAGTGACAAAGACTCCAACACCAAGCATGCCTCCTATACCGAGAGCAATCAAGTCATGCCACTTGAGTTTTCTCTTCATATCTGCACCAGACCTGAGCCTTACTTGGTTAAGTTCTTGGTCTGGAGTCCAAGTAGCTAGCATTCTCTTTTTAAGCCTCTGAGGGGTTTGAGAGAGAGACTGAAGATACTTGAAGAAGGAAGTATTATTGGTTGCCATGTTAGAGAAAGAAGTTAGAGTTTTTTGTGCTTCCATGAGAAATGCCTAACAGGTTAAGGGTTTTTAAATATAAGGAGTTGAAAGAGAGGATATAATTCTAGATTCCTTTATAAAGGTTGATGGGAGGGAACCAAATGTGGGTGTCCCTATAGCTTTATTTTATTGAAAAATACCCAGTTGCTCATTGGGTTGATGTGAAATGACAAGTTTACCCTTTTTTTATATACACAGCTTTTTATTCCCCCAAGAATACAAAGAGAGGTTCATCTGTTATGGGAGCATGCAAAAAAAGGTAGAAAAAGGCCTAGCCATTTTGTTAATTATGAGCTTGTTTATTAATAAGAGGAATCACAAATCATCAACAAATGTGAGAAGGGATACTTTGACCTAATCTTTTGGAATTTCTTCTCTCCCAGACTTTGAAAAGATGTGACAAGCATCACATACACAGTCACTCACTTTGTTAAAGTAACTAAAGATTTTCTTATTTTTCTTCACCAAGTCTTCAGGAACATTTGGACTTGATTCTCTATATATAGAACTACCATATTCTTGTAACATAGTGGTGCAATGCATGCCAGGCTTCAAAGAAATTTCTATAGCTTTTCAAGTACACGTGTAAGTGCATTAATTAAGGTGTGGATTTATTTTCTTTGGGTTAATTTGATCATTATTTAATTTTACCAGCAGATCTAAGAATATATATATATATATATATATTTATATTAAGAATATATATATATATATATTATATTTATATTTATGATCCAATCCAAGAATGATTACTCATTGTTTATGGTAAAGTATATTATACATCATGTACACATACATACAATATCTAAATACACAAAGGTGAAGAAGGTTAGGGTCATATATATATATATATATATTTATATATGATCAATCCAAGAATGATACTCATGTTATTTAAAGTATATATACATATGTACACATACATACAATATCTAAAATACACAAAGGTGAAGAAGGTAGGTCATTAATTTTTTTATTTTTCTATTTAGGGTTATTTTACTCGCTTGTTAAAGTTGCTTCACAGTGTTAACAAGGTGAAATTTGAAAGCCATATATTTTTGGAGTTTTTGCCTACAAATTAGTCTAAGCATATGCGTCTAGTGCATGCCTTTGTAAATACATGCAACCAATGATTAAAATTTTTTTTGTATATATATATATATATATATATAACAAGAACCCAACCCTTTTTTATTTTCTTTTCAAAAAAAAAAAGAAAAAGAAAAGTAAAGAAATAGAAATTGAACCACATTGTCAATCGAATAAGACCAGAATTTAAAAAAGAAAAGGAAACACATAAATACAGTTAACTCATCTACATGTATTGTCTCTTTGTGTGAATCTCAAATAGAAGCGTAAACTTAAGTCAATTCAACAAAATTCATTAAATATTTAGCATTTTATTAGTGGGTTAATTTTTCTTTTCTTTTTTTTTTAGTTGTTGTACATGTGGTATTCCGATAAATACCTCGCAATAGTAGGAACTCCAAGTTTCCTACATGTAATTTTTACAAGTAATTAAAATTTGCTTCGAACGCAATACATTTCTGCTGATTCAACCGCTTGGTATTAAGGTGTTAAGTTTAATCTGAATTCATCTAAAAGGCTAGAAGGAAAAAAAACAAAAAAAGGAAAAGTTCTTGATTCCTAACTTAATTAACTACGGAATTAATAAAGTGAAAAGCACTGAAATGTCAATATCAGAAATAAACCAATCAGTTGGATGCAATAAATTTAAAAAAAAAAAAAAAACATATTTTAAGCATCTCGAATATCATTTGTTCATCTTCTTAGTTATCATCAAGATCTGGTATGATATTACTTGAACGTATATATCCATATACTTTGAATGTACTCTTTTTAAATCTCACAAAGGTTAAGCCTATCTCCATAGGGTATATACCCTACGGTATAATAAGTGTCTTTCGGTTTGGTTGTGTAGAGATACATATAGTTCTGATATTGAAATAGACTTTGATTTTATCTTTATCCCAATCTTTCATCAAGTCAAAGCAAAGGATATATTGTTCTTTTCAATCTAGAGAGCCAAGCATATCCAATGAAAATGAAATATCAAGATACTTCATTGATTATCAGCCGAAAGAAACTTTATATAACCATCAGTAAAAAGCAAGATGAATGGGAATCAGTTATAGCAGTTAATTAACGGTTAGAGATGATAATAGAAAATTGTATTGAAAAGCAACAAGTGGGATATATATATATATATATGCTGGTCGTGCACCAATTTCCACCATGGAAGCTTTATCATGTGCAGAGTGCACTCTTTTCTTAGTTAGTGACTCCTCTTTTTTTCTCTAAGTTCTTAGCATTCACTTCAGGTCAAAAGGCACTCTCTTTAGCATGAATCAAATCCCGATATTCTACCAAGCTAGTTATAATTAATTCATTTACGGTGAAATATTGACATTTAGTTTTCAACATGTGTTCATGTAATGTCATATTAGACATTTATCTGATGCTATATAAGAAATACGTATAATATATTAAATTTCTATAAAAATAATTTTATTATATATAAGTGAACGTGAAAATAAATAAAGCACAAAATAGATAAATAATGTTATATTGCTTATGAAAATCAAAAGAACTTAATAATGGCAAGCTTATATATATATATAGTCGTTGTCCCGAACCAAGAACATGGGCTTAATGATTAAGCGGTTGACTCAGGTATTTAAGAGGTTTTTTGACCGAGCATTACAAGATCCTTTGAATATATAACTCTCATTTGTTTCGTATCTTCTTTATGTATGTGAACTGCTTTATATATTCATATATGTGTTTATGCCTCTTCAATCCTCATAATCCAATAGTAAACGAAGTATCCATATGCAAAAATCTTTTGTTCATTAGTGATTTCAAAGCAGATATTTACTGAAAAATTCTGAGCTCAGATTGAGTGGTCCATGGAACCTTAAATGTCAATATGGTAAGGACCGAGTGTTTTACTTCCATTGGGACCATAAATTTTTCCTGTCAAAATCCACTTGGATTTCAGTACTATACATGTGTGGGCATATACACCACTAGGGAAGCATCTAGACTATAATAGGGCAGACTTCAATCAAAGTGGTTAACTAAATGGCAATGGCTATCATTTCTTGAAAGTGAAATGATTAGGGTCATTCTGTGGATAATATTAGCTAATCATCAAAATAATGCGAGGATAGAATTAGAACCCAGTCAACTATACATTTTTAAAGTTCACGATCCTTTCCTTTAGTGCTATTTATTATTATTACAATTTCATTTCATCATTTTTTCTTGTTTATGTTCAAATTGTACCACAGGTCATTTAAATGCATGTATTTATTGTCTTATTTGCCATCTTCATTTAATTTAGTTATCAATTTCAAGTGGAAATGCCTTCTTGTTTATTGCCACTTAGAATATAGAATTAAGCTTCCTCTCAAGTAAGAATGGAAGCGAGGCAAACTTTAAGCTATCCATACTTGTATTCATGTAAAATTTTATTATATGTTTCCATTTCAATCCATTTAAGTACTCGAATTCAAATTCGTTTAAATTTTTAACCTATACTCATTTAAAATCCATCTAAAGTATACGCTTATATGACTAGGATACCCGCGATCTTAAACTATTCAAATCCCAACTTATTTAAGGTACAAGTTTTACTAATAATGGATAGAATACTTATGGATACTCACTGCTAAAGCCGTTTAATATAGCGGGTACCCAATGGCTATATCTATATCTTATCCATATTCATTACGGGTAGTAATTTTCCTATCTGTATCCACTCCAAATAATTACTCATATCCCCTTTGAACGGATCGGATTAAGACAGGTACCCTAAAATATCCACACCTCTCAAGTCTCCACTTTCTAAAAAACCACTGAAAAAGAAAAAGGGGAAAAAGGGTATTGAATGGGAAGCATAGAAAAGCTACAAAACTACAAAAATCATGCGAAAGCTTGTATCAATTGAAAATGCTCTCGAGCTCACTCTCTTTGATCTATTGGCAAACAAAAAAATTAGAGATTGTGCTAAAATATCAGAATCTAACTCCATTTCAATTCTAATGCTACTTAATTGGCCTAAACATGACCTAATTTCAAAGGACAAAAAAAAAAGATTTGAAAGGAAAAGAAAGTGATTGCTATAGAACTTTTCCTAACAATTTCTTAACAGCATTAATTATCAAATGGATAATCAGCACTAACATGATCACTTGAATAAAAATTTCCAGCAAATTGATATATGTGACTACTATAGTGACAATTACTTGCTTCTCATAATTAATGGTGTCAGTTCCATTATAAATTTATAATTAACCTTGTTAAGCACAGTCCATGCATTTATAAATTTCCAAATTATAGTTACTATTTAGCTTTAGAACAAGAGCAATCTAGAGCCATATCTCACATTAAGACTACAAAAATAGAGAATGTGGTAGATTTAGAGCCATTAATTAAGATCTTATTATTATAAGCTACATGATAATGACACGGTACTAGCACATTTATATAACTAAAATAATCAAGAGAAAAATAATTAAGGAAGAGTTGGAGCATTTTGCTTTAGATTTCCTCAAGTGGGTCATGTAGATTTCCATTGACCTCATTCCTAATCTCTTCCTCTTGGTGGTGAAGGTGCCACAATTTAAAATTTTTGATATCTTAAGCCAATAGAATCTTTAGAAGGCTAGGTCATGCTCAAACAATTTAGGGTTTATACACCACTATTTTAATAATTGTTAACTGTTTTAGTAGTGCGCTTTTTATTATATGGATTAATTTTTTGATAAAACTGCTACGTTAATCGCTAAAAATTAATTCAAAAGTCATGTTATCGAACACTATATAAAATAGCATTTAACGTTTTGATTGGCTACTTAAAAAGTTATTACTGAACATGGAATCAGTAATCACGAACAAAAGGTTAGAGGAATGGAAATAGTGAGGTAGTACCAGCCAATGAAGGAACAAATTAATGGGCTTTTTCTTGGTGAGGAGGAATTCAAGTGGGATAGCCCTTAATTATTAAGTGCTTTTAGACTTTTCTTAGGGAAGTATA